TGCGGAAGTTTAAAGACATGGCCTTTCAATAACTGAGGTTCTTTTCACGTGCAGAAATCCTACAAGGAGCTGTGCGGTTCAGCAACAACCCAGTCCTCTGCAACGTGGAAACCATCCAGTGGCGGGATATCGTTGACAGCGATTTTATAAGCAATATGTCGATGGACTTCCAGAACCAAGCGGGCAGTTGTAAGTTCCACAAACGTCCCCTCTGCCTGTAGCTGCTAGGGTGGGGACAGAGTTGTAGCATGTTGGGGTGGGGGGGGGTGACAGAAAGCAGATTAATCCAAACCAAAAATAACTAGTAAACAATTGATCTGCCCGCTGGAAAAGCACTGACTCGAGACAGAGGGAAAGTCTGTTTCTCCTGGTGACAGTCAGCGTGCCTGCTAACTGGGCAGATCGCCCCCCACCCCTGGCCTCTCAGCCCTCGTGTGGCCATTGAGAAGAGCCGTCAGTCCTGGCCCGGGGGCCTCTCCCATGCTGCCTAGATGAGACAAGCCAAACTTTTGTGTGCTTCCAACGGGCTGCTGAGCCACAGAGCGGCGCCAGGCCCTCCGGAAGCACATAAGCTGACCTCTGGCCTCCTACCTAGAGCCCCAGACAAAGTTGGGCGCAGTGCACAGTGGGGGCGTTTGTCCATACTCCCTTTAGTGCCCATGACCTTGTCCCTGCCATTCATCGGCAAAGCGGCCCATGCCAGGGGGAAGCTGGCAAGGGGCCAGACTGTAGGTCAGGCCTGCACCACTTGGCCCCTTGGCAGCGCTGTGTGGGAAACTCTGAAGACACATGCTTACAGTTACCAAGCTCCGCTTAGCTTCCCCCTTCCTGATCTCCCTGGTCTTTCAGTCCTTTTAAAATAAGAAGTCATCACCATTTCCTGCTTCTCTGTTTCCCTAAACTGTGCAGTGGATGCATGTTTTTGTGTTGGGGTTTCTTTGTTTTTTGTTTGTTTGTTTTTTTTGCAGGGGGAGGGCTGAATTTGGAGCTCACATGGATCTTCAAAATTGACTAGATCCCCTTTATTGTTACTTCATTGTGTCTTATTTTATTTATTTGTTTGTTTATTGTATTGAAATACCCTTAACATAAAATTTGAACCATTTTTAAGGGTACAGTTCGGTGGTATTAAGTCCATTCACGCTGTGGTACAATCATCACCACCATCCATCTCTGGAACTCTTTTCATCTTGCAAAACTGAAACTGTGTCTCCGTTAAACAGGAACTCCCCCTCCCCCAGCCCCTGGCACCCACCATGCTACTTTCCGTCTCTACGAGTGTGACTGCTCTAGGGACCTCTTATAAGTGGAGTCACATAGTGTTGTCTTTCTGTGACTGGCTTCTGTCGCCTAACCTCTCATGTCCTCAGGTTTCATCCACGTTTTAGCACATATCAAAATTTCTTACCTTTATACGGGTGAGGGGTATTCCATTGTGTGGATATCTGTGTGCACGTGTTTTGTTTATCCGTTCATCAGTTGATGAGCTCTTGGGTTGCTCCCACCTGTTGACAGTGACGAATAATGCTGCTATGAACTTGGGTGTTGAGCCCCTTTGTTTTATAAATATATTATTCCAACAGATATTCAGCATGGCAAGAAACTGAAACCTTTCATCTACAGTGCAAAATTTTGTATTATCCATGACATTAAGGTTCGCCTTTCCTCAGCTCTCTGATGGACAATGGGGAGGTTAAATTGTGCACGTTTATAACAACAACAAAAAAACTGACACAGGAAGGCTGTGAGACTAGTATGGATTTGCCATCGACTAGATCGAGCAGCCCAAATGGCACACCTGTCCTCATCACACCAAGACCATGAGAAAGACCCTGAAAGAAAATGTTGGGAAGGAAGGAAGAATCTTGCAATAACAAGATTCACATATGACAGAGCTGTGAACTGCAGACTGATAGGGTACTGGGTTAAGAAGAGACATGGAAGAATAAGTCACAGACATAGTACGAATAAGCCTCGCTAAATTAAATGTCCATAAAGAAATGACATTTCAAGCAAATGAGGGAAGAATAATTTATTATTCAGTAGATCATTCCAGAATGATTGAACTAATAAGGGAAGATATCAAAGTGCCAGAACTATAAGGATTTTTTTTTTTTAAAAAGAACGCTATTTACCTGCTACCTGCGTTCTCCTCATTAATTACCCGACCAGTGACAAGGTGAGGAACCTGCCACTCTCCTTGTGGTAAGGTAAACCCTGTCCTTGCCCAGAGCTTTTCGGGCAACACATGCCTTCTGAGAACTTGTCTTATTTAATTTTTATCCAAAAAAAAATCTCATAAGGTGATTTAAGTATTTTATGGACCATGGATTTGAGATTCAGAAAGGTTACCCAGTGTGTCCCCACGTGATGTTTTTGTTGATGTAGTTTGGAATTTGAAGTTAGATTGGGTGGGTTTACCTAAGGGGAAATTAAAATAAATTAGTCATCCATTTTGTACACCAATATAAATTCCAAATCATATTATATATAATAAATTACTGAATGTATATGTAAGTGCTAGAAGGAAATGTAAAGATGCATATTTGTAATATCGAGCTGAAGAAAAGCCCAGTCAGATGCTGTACAAGAAAACTTCCATATGAAGAAATCTTAACGACAAACAGGAAAATATTGTGCATCATCTGCTTGCCTTGAAAAGGGTTAATATTCTTGATACTATGACTGTATAGAGTAGTCTTAGATATCCTAAGAAAAAGGTGAACCTCCCACTAAAAAAAAAAAAAGTGCCAAAGACATGAGCAGTTTGTACCCCCCCCACACACACAAGATGGCCAAGAAATAAAGTAAAATGTTATTTCTTACTGTAATTTAAAAAAGGTCAAAATAAAATAAAGAAGCATCATCTTTGCCTTTGCAAAAGATTTGGATTCCTTCTGATTTTTAGATACCTGGATCAGGAGAGGTGTGGAGAAGCAGAAATTCTCATCTTCTTCTTGAGGGCATATAAACTAATAAAATATGACCAGGGATAGAATTTTAGCAATATGTATTGAAGCTTTTAAGTATGCACTCCTCATGTCTAGGAATCCTAAGAAAAAAATAATAAGGGGAGTGAAAAGTATAAGGATATAGAAAAATATTTTTGTGCAAGAATATTCCTTGCAGCCTTACCTATAATGAATTTTAGAAACAACTTACATATCTAAAAATAAGAGATTAGTTAAAGGAATTATGGTACAGCCATGCCATTGAAAATCACGTTATGGGGGCGCCTGGGTGGCTCAGTCGGTTAAGCGTCTGCCTTGGGCTCAGGTCCTGGGATCGAGCCCCATGTCAGGCTCCCTGCTCAGCGGGGAGTCTGCTTCTCCCTCTCCCTCTGCCCCTCCCCCTGCTCATGCTCTCACTCTCTCTCAATAAATCAAATCTTTTTTTAAAAATAGAAAATCATGTTATGTAAAAGGATATTTAAAGGCATGGAAAAATTGCCATAATATTTTATTAGCTTTTTTTAAGTTATGAATCAAAGTATAGTGTTACATCAATACTTACATATGCATATACTTACATGCATATATTGATTACATCTGGATGATTCTCATTTCCTCCTTTTGCTTTTTTCTATTATCCAAATTTTATATAATTTGCCTGCATTTCCTTTTCTGTAACAGAGGGTTAATAATAGAATTATAAGCAAACCTTGATTCATTGGTTGGCAGATGTTTTCTCCGCTACATGAAGATGCCATTAAGCATTTTCATTTTAAACATTTTTGTTTTGCAAACCTATTACGTGCTTATAATAGGGATTTGAGAAATATGAGGAAGAATAGGGTAAACAGTAAAAATAACGTATCACCGTACAGACAAGCACTTTTAACACTTCTGTGTACTGCTTTTGTTCTTCCTACTCTTGCCCATCTCTCTCTCTCTGTCCCTCCCTTCTTCACAATGCACAGCCCACACCGTGCATTTGGGGTTTGCCCTCACCATCTCTCATGATTCCTAGGAGCATCAGCATTGCATTGCTGCCCTTCACCCCTGGGGTGATTGGAAGGATTGTCAGTCTCATGAAAGGGGTGTCCTGGTTCCACAGTAACTTGGGAAATCCTCAGCTCTTCCATTTGAAATCTAGAGTCTACCAGGAATTAAATTCTTCCTGACTGTAGGAGACTTTGGGACACATAGGAACTCCTTCCTGTGAGGTCTCATGTCTTTGCAATCAAAGACACCTGCCCTGCTGATCTTTTTTAAACAAATTTTCGTAGTCGGCCTGTTGTCTTTATATAGACGGGAGGCTTTGGTCTTCAGGTATTTCAGTGCTAGTAAAAATGAAACACAACTAATGAGAGTAAAAAATCTTTGTAGCTGTGATTTGTAGTTGATCACTGCAAAAACTGATTGATGGACATCAAGTATTTCCACACAGTGGCTCACAAATCAATAGCTTAAGTTTAGCTAATCAGCAAGGTGATGCACACTGCGAACATTTGACCCTTTGAGCAGTGTTCTGTGTGTCTGTCTGGCTTCAGGTCTAGGAGTCTTTATTTGCAGGACCCCATGTCCCCTAGGATCACTGACCCTTGGGTCACTCGAGACTGGCATAGTGAGAATGTAGTGGGTCATATCCACCCCACCAGACTAGACTCCCTTAGTGCTGTTGGAGATGCTGGAAAATTCTCCAAGGCTAAACACATGTGGAAACTGGACCATTTGGACCCCAGTTTTCCTGACCCGTGACGAGTCAATAATTACTCTCTGCCTCAGTTTCTGCAGCTGAAATGTAAATAAAAGCAGAACGTGGTTCAGCTCTCTTTTATTTATTTATTTTTTTTAACGAAAGTCTTTTGAGTCATCTTACAAACCAACCAGCAAACGGACAGATGGAGAATTAGAAATTTGAAAGCTGTTCCTTGTTTCTAGAACGTCGCTTTGCTCAGGGGCTTGTTTTTACCACCAGTTCTCTTCCTCTGAGATACGAATTTAACTATGACTTTTACATTTTAGGCCAAAAGTGTGACCCAGACTGTCCCGATGGAAGTTGTTGGGGTCCGGGAAAGGAGAATTGCCAGAAATGTAAGTCAGCAAGCAGAATTTCAGATAAATGTGTGCCCGCTTTCCTCCCCTTACACTTAGCTGACCGTATGTGTTTTCCCTTTTGAAGACTCCCCAAGGCCAGATGTTGGCAGTTACGTGGATGACATTCATGCAGATGTCCTTACACGTGGTTAATCCAGTGTGGGCTATTTTGGGCACTTCAGCGTGTCATAAATGAGTGAAAGTCAGCCGCGCAGATATCAGCCAGGCTCTTAGAGCCATGTGTTGGGCCTGTTTTCCTGGGAACAGAACACTCGCCCATGTTGTTACCGGAGGGTCACAAGCACCCCTCGTTTTCTCTCCCTTGGGGGCCTATCTACACAGAAGTGGGAGCTACGCTTTCCAGGAGGGTTTTTCTGCAGGAATCCTAGTTTCGGAGCATGGGTGGCCACGGAATCTGGGGACCTCCGCCTTAAAAGTTCAGCGTCTGGGGTAGACGAACCATGAGAGACGATGGACTCTGAAAAACAAACAGGTTCTAGAGGGGAGGGGGGTGGGAGGATGGGTTAGCCTGGTGGTGGGTATTGAGGAGGGCACATTCTGCATGGAGCACTGGGTGTTATGCACAAACAATGAATCATGGAACACTACATCTAAAACTAATGATGTAATGTATGGGGATTAACATAAGAATAAAAAAAATAAATTAAAAAAAATCTTAAAAAAAAAAAAAGTTCAGCGTCTGTCCTTCGGTTTCATTGTGATGTGACTGTTTCATCCTTTTAAACACGACTTTCTGGCAGTTGCTTTTGTTCCTTGACGGGCTTCCCATATCACCCCAGATCTCAGTTCTAACTAGCATGGAATTACTGAGCCGGTTGAGAAGTCTAGACTCGATCTGGCTTGCTCTAGAGAGCAGTGGGAACAAAACAAGGTGCCGTAAAGAAAGGTCACGATTCAGTGTTCTTTGGCGGAGGGTGAAGGTTCGGGAACTTGAACGCGCCAGGGAATCACTAAATTCATCATTTTGTTCGCCTTTTCACCCACGGTGTGCAAGTGCTCTGCGGGGCCCCTGGGGAATGGCCGTTCCACCCTCCCTGGCTCTTCAGCTCACCCATACCCTTTGCTCCTTTTCAGTGACCAAAATCATCTGTGCTCAGCAGTGTTCTGGGCGCTGCCGTGGCAGGTCCCCCAGTGACTGCTGTCACAACCAATGTGCTGCCGGCTGCACTGGGCCCCGTGAGAGCGACTGCCTGGTAAGGCTGACCCAGCCCCCCGGGGGTGGGGGGCTTCTCTGGCTTCCGGGGGGAGAAATTACCGCACATGCGGTTGCTGCCCGGTGCCAAGGGGCAAAGCACCTTTTAAATGTCCCGCCTTCCCCACCGACTTCGTGACTTCGGGCAAATCCTACGGCCCCTCTGCGCCTCGGTGGGCAGTAAACACCGCCTGTTCCATGGTCTGGGGGACGCAGTGCCCGTAGCCTCCATGCCAGGAGGACCTGGGCGTAGGATGGGCAGCAGTACTAAATACGAGGTGTCTGTCGTTAGTGTTTTTGGTGGCCAGCAGCACTGTTATTATATCCTCCATTGCTCCAGTCGAAACCCACCGAGTCGTTACCGGAAGGGCCCTAACATAAATACACAGAGATGGTAAGGGACGTACCCAGAGCCACACAGATTTGAGGGCACAGCTGGAACTGCACGTGGACCCTCGGACCCAGGCCCTCTGCTCTTCCCACCACAGCTCAGGGCCTCCTGAAGGTCCTGCGGCACCCACTCTTGTCCCTGTCACTGCAGAAAGCCCTGACAAAAGCCTTCTCGCCCCGGTGGGCGGTGGGCACCACACGTAGGCATGTAGGTGGCAGCTCAATTGCAGGCACCTTGGGCGTCCTAGTGACACGGGGGCCGGCCGACGTGAGTCCTGGACGCAGCACCAAGTGTGATGAGACCCCCGTGGGCTCCAGAGAAGGGGCAATCCAGAAGACTCCAGTTTCAGGGAGGGGGAGGTTTTTCAATTCCAGAGGCTGCATCCGGCCCCAGGGATTGTGACGTGGTTGGTCGGGGCTGATGCTAATGTGTCTCTGGAGGGGAGGCGGCCTGTGGGTCTTCGGGCCACCACTGTATGTGGTCCGGTCCTCTGTGCACCACAGCCTCCCTCATCAGGGTTTTCTGCAGTTTGGCAGTAAATTCGAAAACATATCCTCAAGTGTTCTTTATAAGGGAAAGCCAGGAAATTGAGTTGAGAAATAATTTCACGCCATAGGGACCACTCCAGCATGTGAACTCCTTCATCATTTTGCAAGTCAATAAAGATGCGGGTTTTTATCGTCATGATCCCTAAATTATCACAGCTAGGACGGTACCCGAAAAATCATACTTTTAAGGTCTTCCCGAATCTTCTGAAAGTACTTGGCTAGTTTTTTGTTTTTTTTTTTTTGGGGGGGGGTGGTTTGTTTGTTTTTGCTTTAATCAAATTCCTGGACATTAAGAACACTAACCTGAGCTTTCTGCACAGAGTTGAGACAATCCTGAGCATCCTTGCCCAGCTTGACCAGTGTGTGTCGTCCCTCCTGTCACAGGTCTGCCGCAGGTTCCGGGATGAGGCCACATGCAAGGACACCTGCCCCCCACTCATGCTCTACAACCCCACCACCTACCAGATGGATGTCAACCCAGAGGGAAAGTACAGCTTTGGTGCTACATGCGTGAAGAAATGCCCCCGTGAGTTCATCCCATGCGAAACCCTTTCATTTATCTGGCAGTCAGTTTCCTCTTTGTCTCCTGCTGGGATCCTTGAGTCCCCTGGCTCGGGGAGTCTTTGGGTCCCTATGTTTGCCTCACTGTCAGGCAGGTGACCGTGGGCCTGTCCGAGTGCACAGGTCGGGGGGTCAGGCCACTGCCATAGGTGACAGGTGATGTCTGGTGCCCTGTTCACCAGTGTCTCTTCTCGAGTCCGTGGTGGCCAGGACAGGAAACACACCGTGGGACCGGGGTCCAGCTGCAGTAGTCCAGAATGTTCAGTTGTCCGTTTGGGCCACTTCACCATTTAGCCTCTTGTGCCCAGCAGGTATCGAAAAGACCTAAATTGGAGAGTGTGTGTGGGAAGATGCGCCTGCTCTAGTGGTTAAAATTCTGGTGAAAATTGTGCCTCTTAAGGGAACTAAAACTTCAGAGGAGCCTCTTTGTGTGTTGTTTGGTTTTGTTTTAATTGTTTCAGCTTGGGTTTTGCTTATTTGTATTTGCACTCAACAGGTGGCTATAATGTTCAGGAAAATGATGATATGAATTATGTCCTCACAGAGAGAGAGTAGCGTTGTCTAATTAAAGAGCTTTAGAAACCAGTCTTAATTTCTAGGAGGAGAGAGTAAGAGAAAAATATTGTAAGCACAGCTATGAGCGGGAGATTTGCCCTACCAGATTTGTGGACAGGAAAACTTTTAAATTCTAACGGAAAAAAATAACACATAAATAGAGTAATATACCATTGTATGGAACTAACTTACTAAAATTTTTTAATTTGTCACAATTCTGACACAAGTATAATCTTTGAGAGAGGGCTTAATAGGTAGAGTTTAAAAATCCACAGGAAACCGGAGCCTGAGAACAAAAGCAGACAATTTACAGAAAGAACAATTACAACTATCCAGTAAATATGTTTGAGGATGTACCTGGGGAATTCAAAACAGGAACACATAGGGCTCCAGAAACATACTTATATCCGTGTTAATGTTAACACAAATAAATTACTCCAAAGTGAGGGGAGGCTCCCAAGATGACCCATCTGCCTGGCTCGATGCAGAACCAGCTGGTGGTACCAGCCCCCCAGCCGGACAGGACCACGGAAGGCAGCCCGTTGGCCACGAGAATTACATGCATCCTCAGATGTGGCAGCTTCCACGGAACAGTGGGCTTTGTTCAGGGTCACTTATTTTTAATAAGTATTCAGGCTTTAACCACAGGTCCTGAAGGTTGAACCGACAGAAAAATGAGCTGCAAAGAGATGTTCTAAACCTGCGAGCAGGCCCCATGTTCTCCCTGCCACGTCTGTTTCCTGCCAGTTTGATAAGCTATTAAAACTCTTGAACTTGATTCCTTTTCTGTTTGCAACCTTTCATTCTTTGTCCTTAAAGTAAATAAAACCAGAGGCTTATAGGCCCTTTTCATCAGCCCCTTTATAGGAGACCGTGAGACAATTGTGTGAGGCCCCAAAACACCTGGTGCTGCTTTCGCCACCTTCCTTCCTTGTCTCTCCAGGTAACTACGTGGTGACAGACCACGGTTCGTGTGTCCGTGCCTGCAGTTCTGATAGCTACGAGGTAGAGGAAGACGGTGTCCGCAAATGCAAAAAGTGTGAGGGGCCTTGCCGCAAAGGTAGGTAGCCTGCAGGCTGTAGGGACGAGGCTTTCCGTCTGGTCACGAAGCTGGGGTTGATCCGCCCCACGTCCACCAGGCCCCCTCAGCATCCTGCTTGGAAGAGATCTGAGCAAATCTCTTCCTTCAGGCTCAGAAATTTCTTCCTTCCTTCGTACGGTGCCCCGTTCTTGGAGGCTCCTCAGTGCCACTTTTCTCCCACTTATTAATACGCCTTTTACTTTATCTGTTTTGTAAAAACTTCCAAACACCCAGAAATGTTGCAAGAGTAGTGCAGTGAACACCCAGATGCCTTTCACGTAAATTCACCACTTTTTAATATTTTGCCACATTGCTTTCACTGTCTCCGTAATTTGCGTTTATATGTGTGTGCCTATGTGGATGTGTGCATGCGTGGGTGAAAGTTCTTTCTGAATCAGAGGACAGTTGCAGATATCGTAACGCTTCACCCCTACATTTGCCAGCATGTTTCTCACAAATGGTGACGTTCTCCTAAGTAATGGAAGACGGGGTCACACTCAGGATTATTTAACATCAACTCAATAGTCTTTTCTAGTGTCCCCTAATTCAGACTGCCCCCTACCCCCCATCCCACTTAAGGCATTTTTAGCTGCTTCTCAGTCCAGAACCCAGTCAACGATCATGGGTTTCGGGTAGATGTCCTGCCCGCATTATCTTCATTAATCAACAACTGTGTCTCAGCTCCCCTCCCCCACTTGCTTTTCTTCTCTCTTCCATGACCAGATGTGAAGGGTCTAGCCCAGGTGTTTTGCACAATGTCCCTCAGTTTGGCTTCATTGACTGTTTTTCCTCATGGCTGCATTTAGGTTGGGTGTTTTGGGCAGGAGCATTGCATAGGTCATGTTGATTTCCTCTCATTGTATTAAATCAGGTGACATATGGTGCCATGTTATTTCATCACTGATGGTGACAAGTTAGATAAGATTTCTTGGTGGGTATAAAAGGGTGATTTTCTATTTCTATCATCCCATTTATTAGTTGGCATTCTTTAAAAAAAAAAAAATTAGTTCCTATGTGAGGTCATGGAATCCTTTATTCAGTTTCTTACAATCCATTCCTGTCGTTCATTCGGGTACTTAAATTGCCCCACATGTGGCCAGTAGGAGCCTCTCTAGATGGCTCCTGTGTCCCTTTGGCACATCCCACGTCCCACTCGTGTCTTCTACTCAAAAAGTACTATCTACACTCTTTGTACTTTGCTGCTTAACCTTAGTATATTCTGGAAATCACTCCAGAGTTCATATGAATCTTCTTCATTCTGTGGTGCAGCTACCTAGGCCCCCTTCTGTGGCCATACCATAATTTATTCAATGGATCTCCCTTTACGTGCCCATTTAGATTGGGACACTGTTCTGCTATTATAAACAACACCCGAGTGCATAGCTGCTTACCTTGGGTATCCACCTCAGGTGCCCCCTTCCCCGTGAAGCCATCTGTCTTTTCAGTCCACACTGATTGCTCCCCTTTTTGCTCCCATACACATTTCATACATGTTCTCCACGGGGCAGACTCAGCCGCCTTGTTCCGTGTCAGGGAATCCTCCCAACGCCACTGGGACCTCTGTGTTATTTCGATCCCCATTCTCCAGATGAGGACACTGAGGAACAGAGAATCTAAATGACTTTCCCGCGTTTCAGCAGCTAAGAATGGCAGTCAAGATTTGAAGTTCATGCAGTCTTGGTCCCAAGCCAGACCCATGAGCTTGTCAGCCAAGTCCGTGTCTTCCTGGTCTTATGACTCCTGTGGGGCAGGCGGGTCAGTGCCCTGATGGATGAATATCCTTTGGCTTCAGGAAACTGTCTGGCAGAGCAGACATGGAAGGAGGAAAATGAGAATGTGGGGTGGTGCCTGGCACAGGGGAAGTAAGAGAGAGAGGGTTACTGTCAGTGTTCTCAAATGGACTGATAGAATCAGAGATGGTTTGGGTTTTATTTTGTTAATTTTGTATTCAACAAACAGTTTGATTTTCCTATAATTATTATGCCCTATTTTTCTATGCATCCTCCAATTCAGATCACTTCAGGCATAGGGCAGTACCACTGGGTAAGGAAGGAGGTGCCAGGAATGTCTAGGAGTGAATATATAATTGGTCTCTGAATTTAGGAATTAAAGTAACCCCACCATCACCGTTACATGCAAGCAGAGAGAGAGAGAGCATGAACATTCTCTCAAGCACATGGAATTCTCTGCCAGACCTGTAATTAAATGGCAAGTCCTCATAGGGCCACCACATTCTCCACTGTCAGCCAGATCCTGTGGATCCTAAAGAAGCCTGGCCATGAGTCCCACAACCCATAGTGTGTTAGATGCAGCACAGGAAGGTTGAGTGAGCCATTCAGCACAGGACTCCTTAGAGCAGCTCCTCGAACCAGAGAGGAGGCTGGCCCACAGGGTGTGCCCGGAGACCCAGTAGTGGCTGGTGGGACAGTCGTGGCCACTGGAGTCAGCAATGGAAGGTTTCCTTGGAAGTAACAAGGGACTCCCAGTGGAGTGGAGCACGGGGGGAGGGGGGAGCAGCAGGGCTTGACTGCATCTGCTAGAACCCCGGGGGGAGGAAAGGATAGGACCTTATCCTGAGCAATGCGATTTTCAGTGATTATACTTCAAAGTCAAGATAAAGTCTGGAAGATAGGTACCAAAATTGCTCTGCAAATTCTAGAGGGAGAATTACAACAGATAAATGGGCTTTAGGGTGGAGATGGCATTTGAGATGGAAATTTAGGAGTGGATATAAATTAATAAAGGGGCTCAGAGTGTGGAAAAGGGCATTTGAGACTGATGTAGCAATAGGACACAGATCAAAGCATTTGGTTCAAGTAAACACAGGGGAAGAAAAGCAGTTTATCTGATAAAAGTTATTACAGTATTCCCTATGATATAATATAAGATAGCCATGAAAAATCATGTTCGTGAATAGTTTTAATAATATGAGGAATGTTCACAGCAGAATAAGTTAAAAAAAAAAAAATACTGGGTGGCTCAGTCATTAGGTGTCTGCCTTCGGCTCAGGTCATGATCCCAGGGTCCAGGAATCGAGCCCTGCATCGGGCTCCCTGCTCAGCGGGAAGCCAGCTTCTCCGTCTCCCACTCCCCTGCTTGTGTTCCCTCTTTTGCTGTGTCTCTCTCTGTCAAATAAATAAAATCATAAAAAAAAAACAAACATATCTGGTGTGACATAACCATGGAGGATAGCTGAAAGGAACACTTCTCAAAATATCCTGTAGTGGAAACTCTGGTCATTTTGATCCCTTTATTCTATTTTTCAACATTGTCAAATGAACACATCTTACTCTTTAATAAAAATAAGCTAGGTACATTCTTTCTTTAAAATAGACAAGAGAGGGGCACCTGGGTGGCTCAGATGGTTAAGCGTCTGCCTT